GAGTTTCTGAGGGACAGCTGGTGGGTTTGAACTGCCGACCTTGTAGTTTGCAGTCCAGTGTTGATCCTATTGCACCACACCTGGAGTGCTTAAAAAAATTTAAGAATATAAATATAGGATTTGCCCTTTACCCTTTAGAACTCAAAAGTCCCATAGGTGAAATCTCATTTAAAAAAATATGTCTTGTAGAAGACTTATTTACACCTATGCTGAATTCTGTGTAACGATTCACAGCAATTGCAATGTGTCATTTATCTAATTAAAATGTTTTATAAATAGAAATGTAAGTTCTTAAAATTGTGTCCATGTAATAACCATACCCGATACAAATAAAGCACTGTTAATATTGGGAGAAAAAATAAGTTAATGACATACTGGAAACACATTTTAGTTCTACCTCCTATTAGCAAAAACAACTGTGTTTTCTGGCCCGCCAGATCATGTAAGCAATCCCTTTACTTCCTAAACATCCAGCAAGACAACAGTTCTGAATATACTTCTTAGCAATTTCTTTCCTTCCTAATTTGCAATAGAGTTAACAGTAATCTCACTTTCCATCTCCCATAGATTCACAATTTTCTTTTTACTAATGGATTAATTTTATCAAAGGTCTATTACCATGAAAACATTTATTGTCCTATTCAATGTTTAACAGTAAAAAAAAATCACAGACCATATTTTAACGTGCACTGCTCTACTGAATTTGTGGCTTTAAAACCACTGATTTTTAAGATTCTAGTGAAACACTGAAAATGAATGTAAAGGAGAGATGGAGAAACTGAATGTTAGCAGAGCAGCAACTATTATTGTGTTGTGTGCTGTTGACTCGTACTACCCCTAGAGGACAGAGCAGAAGTACCCCGTCGGGTGTCCAGCTGCACTCTCTACTGAAGTAGACTGTGGGTTCAAACAGCCACGCTTTCAATTAGCCACCGAGCACTTGGCCACTCCATCACCACAAGGGCCCCCAAGGCCTCTACCCAATCCCTAACAACTTTTCCCCAAAAACTCTCTTGACTGCCGCTACTACCAACTCAATTTACATTGATAACTTTCTCACATCTCAGAAGTGCACTTTTCTAAGACACCGGACTCTCCGGCGAAATCATTAACTTACCTCCCCAGACTTTCCTTACTGTTGGTAAGTGCTGCTGTGAAGAGAACCGGGGGAATGTAACATGGCTGGGTTTAGGATTTGGTTGGTAACTAAGTAAGCTACACACTTTGCCCTGGTGTGACGCTACATGTAGAATTAACCGACTTCGCAGTTCACACCAACCGTGAGGTTGAGTGCTTATCCTACGGTGCCACACCAGTAACACACACTTACAATGGATGCATTTGTAGATGTATCCATCTCAGGTTTGCTGAATTTGACGACACAGCTGTGAGAGAGCACGGAGTTCTACAGTTAGCATTTCTCCAGGGGCTAATTCAAAGGAACTCTGGGAGCATGCAATTAGTCTTACAACAATTGAAGACAAGTGGATTCAATCCGGTTAACAAGTAAAATCATCACGGTAAACAAAGACTACAGCTGACACGGGATTTGTCTTCAGCTCACTCATGAATTGTGATAAGATTCACAACACTAGTGAATCTAACTTTCCACCTTCTCACCTCTATAGGCACCGGCCTACCAGTCATATCCATCAGCACATGTTACCACACCAACCTTCCTCCCTTCATCACTGGCAGCCTTCAGACTACTCAGCAGTGGCCTATTAAGGCTGAGAAAACCGAATTATCATTTTTGGTACCTACCGGGTTAATGGTTTTAGGGTTAAGTTTATCACTTGGTCGAGGAGGAAGTTTTCTTGCACACTCCAGAGAGCTGGTTGACAATGAGGATTTGCTACGCTGGATTGCAGTCCTGTGTTTTAATTGCATGCTGGATGATGTCCTTTGATCACAGTTTCCTGGGAAAAACGGAACAAAAAGGCAAAAGCATGAAGTTTGCTCCTTGACTAGCTGAATAACGAACTACGCCATTTCCAACATTTAGCCCTTCATTTAAGAAGCAAACTTCCATACCTGCTCCTCGGTTTCTCAAGTGGACACTTCCATGACACTCTGATTGCTGCATGGTTTCTTCCTGACTCCTGCAGTTACATAAAACAATTCAAAACAGCAGCAATTGTAGCAGCAGCAGCAAACTCTTGGGGCAGGGGTCATAACCAGTGTAAAGTTCAAAACAGAATACACTACAGTAAAGACCATACTAAAAGGGATGGAGCAAAATCCTTGGTGACTAATGGAATACGAAATCATATCACTTCTAATAACATCAGTATCAACAAATCAAAAAACCTCTGCAAGAAAATAAGACATAAACATTTGCTCCCCAAAGCTGTCAGAATGTATCATTAGAAATGCAGCTGGAATCCTCTGGTCATATTCACAATTTGGAAAGAGTTGGCACATTCCCAAATTTTCTAACACTGAGCCTCTACATTTTGGAAATTTAAGAAAAAAAAGAAAGGTCTGCAAGTTGTTGTTGTTGTTGTTAAGTGACTTCAAGTTGGTTCCAACCCTTGTTGTTTTTAGGTGCCATCGAGTCAGTACCAACTCATAGTGACCTTATGCACACCAGAACACAACACTGTTCAATCCTGGGCCAACCTCACAATTGTTGCCACACTTGAGCCTACTGATGCTGCCACTTTGCCAATCCATTTCACTGGGGGGTCTTCCTCTTTTTCTCTGACCCTCCACCTTACCAGACATGATATCCTTCTCCAGCAACTGGTCCCTCCTGACAATATGTCCCAAGCATGAGAGACAAAGTTTGACCATCTTGGCCTCCAAGGAGCACTCTGTCTGCACTTCTTCCAACACAGATCTGTTGGTTCTTTTGGCAGCCCATGGCACTTTCAATACTCTCCTTCAACACCATCACTCAAAAGCATCAATTCTTCTACGGTCTTCCTTATTCACTGTCCAGCTTTCGCATGCATATGAGGTTATTTGAAAATACGATGACTTGGGTGAGGCACACCTGAATCCTCAAGCTGACATCTTTGCTCTTCAATACTTTAAAAAAAGGTCTTGTGCAGCAGATTTGCCTAATGCAGTATGTCATTTGATTTCCTGACTGCTGCTTCCGTGAGTGTTGACAGTTGATCCAAGAAAACTGAAGTCCTTGACAACTTCAATCTTTTCTCTGTTGATAAGAATATCGTTTTCTGGTCCAGTGGTGAGGATCTTTGTTTTCTTTACATTGAGTTATAATCCATAGTGAAGGCTGTGATGTTTGATCTTCATAAGTAAATGTTTTAAGTCCTCTTCACTTTCAGCAAGCAAGGTTGTATCATCTGCATATCGCAGGTTGTTAATGAGTCTTCCTCTAATCCTGATGCCACATTTTTCTTCATAGAACCCAGCTTCTCAGATTATTTGCTCAGCATACAGGTTGAATAAGTATGGTGAAAGAATACAACCTGTCACACACCTTTCTTAATTTTAAAACAGTCAGTGTTCCCATGTTCTGTTCGAACAACTGCCTCTTGGTCCAGGTACAGATTACTCATGAGCACAATTAAGTGTTCAGAAATACTCATACTTTGCAATGTTGTCCATAGCTTGTCATGATCCACACAACTGAAAGCCTTTGCGTGTCAATTAAGCACAGGTAAACATCTTTCTGATATTCTCTGCTTTCAGCCAAGATCCATCGGACATCAGCAACGATATCCCTCGTTCCGTGGCCTCTTCTGAATCTGGCTTCAACCTCTGGGAAGTTCTCTGTTAATGTTTACTTGTAGCACTTTCTGTATATGTACCCGACCCTTAAAGACCCTATATAGTGTTTCCAAGGGGCAGCTGGTGAGCTTGCACCACCAACCTTGCAGCTCAAATGGCTTTGCAGTCTGGTGGTGCATTCACCTACAGAGCCACTGGAAGTTCAAGAAAAAAAAGAAAGGCCTGCAATTTTCCAATGACAAAGGAGCTGCTCTTCTAACCAATCACAAGCTCCTTATTTACACAACCAAAACTGAGGTGATCACACAGAAAATATGAACCCTTTGTTTATTAAAGTCCCCTCAGTTTTGAAGGTCAACCAGGCTGAAAAACGCACAATAATCTTGACCTCCTTTTCCTACACTTCCATACAGATGTGATAAACCTGGTGTGATCTGGGAAGATGATGGCTGCATCTCATTCTACCAATTCTATAAACTCAGTGCGATTAACCTCACTCCCCTATGCCTTGATTTCCTGACCTACACTACCAGGGGTGTCATTTATACTGAGATTTGCTGAAATCAAACACAGCAGCAGTTTCACGGGAGAAAGATCATGTTGTCTGCCCCCATAAAGACTGAGTCTCAGAAACCCTCCCTGGCTCAAACTAAGAATCATAGTGGTTTCTTTTATTTTGTTTAACCTGATGTCTAAAAAGTTCCAGAGTTGGAAGAGGCTTACCCACTAAAGTAGCCACTAGCTACCTCTGAAGCTGCTTCAATTTTCAAAGAGCAACGATAGAGCCCAACCGCCACCTACCTGGATCGCTTCTAAAATAAACCCAAAGGGTCTTAAAAATCTGCTTTACATCGTCCCCGTCTTTTCCCATCCACCCAGCACACATTGCTAAATATCTAAAACCAGTTCAGGATCAGGATGCGGAACAAAGTTTGTAAAATGAGGAAAGTAAACATATAACCAAAAAAAAAAAAGAGTAAAATAAGTTTAAAAAGTGGAAGGGTGGGGAAAGGTGCAAGATGTTCATTTAAAAACCAAGGGGGGTGCAGAAACAGAGGGCGGGAGTAATAAGAGGGATACAGTGTAACCAAAGAAGGCTCCTTTTTGTGGAAGTCAGACCCCAGGAAAACTAGCATGCCCTTTAGGTTCTAACAGAGTATACAGGATCCTTAGAAACGGAGTTCAGCGGCCCTAGCAACCAGCCAGCGCGAAAGCCCGCGCCACCGCGGAACGGAGCCATGGGATCCTCACACTCGTCGCCCACTGCTTCCGGGACGTACTCCTACCGCGCCTTTTTCCCGCCGCGCTGCGTATACCAGCCGCCGCCCCAGGCGGGGCCTTCTGTCCCCGCACTCTCCCGGCCAAAAGCCGCCACTCCGTCAACAGCCTCTGGGTTTCAGGGCGCCCACAGACCGGGCGGCGCCGCGCAGTGACATCAGAGGCACGCTGCGTCCTCTCAGCCAATAGCATGGAGGCCACAAAGGCGCCAGACCAAAGAGGGTTGCCACGGCAACGAGGCTCTGTGAGTAGCGAAGGCAGTTTCTGAGCCAGAAGCATTGAGCATTTGGTGACAAAAAGATACCTCGTGGAGGATCCTTTTTGGATGAGAGATCCAGATATTAAAGTAATCTAGACAACTTCTTGACTACAGTTAAAATAAGGTCCGAGCATGACCAAGGAAGTTGTTGTTGTTAAGCGCCGTCGAGTTGATTCCAACCCATAGCGACCCTGTATAGGGTTTCCAAAAAGAAGCTGGTGAACTTGAACCACCGACCTTGCAGTTCAAACGGCTTTTCAGTCTGCCGCATTAGCCCACAATGCCACACCAGTTGTTGTTGTTGTTGTTAGGTGCCATCAAGTCAGTACTGACTCTTAGCGACCTTATGCACAACAGAATGAAACACTGCGGATCCTGGGCCAACCTCACTACTGTTGCCATGCTTGAACCCACAGATGGTGCCACTTTGCCAACCCATTTCGCTGGGGGTCTTCCTCTTTTTCTCTGACCCTCCATGTTACCAAACATGAATTCCTTCTCCAGCGACTGGTCCCTTCTGACTATATATCCAAAGTATGAGAAACGAAGTTTGGCCATCCTGGCCTCCAAGGAGCACTCTGGCTGTACTTCTTCCAAAAGGGATCTATTGGTTCTATGGGCAGCCCATGGCACTTTCAATATTCTCCTCCAACACCATAACTCAAAAGCATCAATTTTTCTATGGTCTTCCTTATTCACTGTCCAGCTTTTACATTCATATGAGGTTATTGAAAATACCATGGCTTGGGTCAGATTCACCATAGTTCTTTCAAAAAGTCTTGTGCAGCACATTTGCCTAATGCAAGGAAGTTGTTTTAAGTACAGTGGAGTTTTGAACTGCCGACCTTGAGGTTAGCAGCCCAATTCCTAACCACTATGCTAAATGGTCTCAGTGATGTCATCCCTGGAGAAGTTAACCACTCCCTAGCCATAAAACTAATGATTGAAGGAACCTGTTGGGAAATAGGTGATAACAATCAATGATAAAGAAACCCGTTGTTCTTTTGTTTCTGTGGAGTGTTACTTTAATATTGTTGTTAAGTGCCTTCAAGTCAATAGTAACTCATAGTGACCCTATATAGGGTCTGGTAGC